CTGGCCAGCCTGAGCCCTTCCTGGTATGTCACAAAGCACAAAAACATGCTGTTCTAATGGGACTCATGACGGGGTCTAGATCCTCATGCAAAATCCTGTGTTCACCCACTCTGCTCCTGAAGCGCTCTCATAACACATAATCATGGAAATATTTTACGGGAACTAGTTATCCACATCATATCAGTTAGATCCATGACTGGTTTTGTGGATGGGAATCTACAGTCCTGTTCAAGAAAAATATAGAAAACAATATTTATTCCAACATGCATTCATTTGCACTTGGGAATATGTCACAAAGAAAGGGATGTGGAAACTGCCAAAAGACAATTGTTTAGAATCCCTTGTTGTGCTTTCAGTTAAACAATCAACTCGTTCTTGTCACTCCCATCTTTCTGGAGTGGAAAAACAGGTTGAAACAGCTGCTTTGGAAATGCAGCACTGCTGGTATGAAAGCACTGCTGGTTTATAGTAGAAGAGAAGCTGAATTTCTAAACATCTCATTAAAAAGCATTTAAGTTCTTGCCTTCCATGTTCGTGAACAGGGAGTAGAAGTGAATAGGAACTGAAACTGGTTCAGTTCTTGTTCTTGTTCTTGTTCTTCTTCTTCCATGAACTGGAATGGAAACCCTAACCCTAAAATCCCTCCATTGCTTAACATTTGGTCTGGGCCTTCAAGCTCACTTTCTGGCTGAAAGTAAGAGTTGTTCACTAACTGATGGCTCAGGATGTTCTTTTGAGGGTGAAGAGAAAGTCCTTCTTTCCTTTGCTCCAGAGTGCAAGGTGCCAAAGAGGCTCTATTTCTCAGGAAATCGTTACAAAAGGGACTAGGCGAGATCTGAGACTGATCATTCTTCCAATGCATTCATTTCTCGGATCCTCAAGTAAAAAGAAACTTCTCTGAGGTTTGACCCAAACATGATGGTGTGGCTCACCATTTGCCAAAGCACCATACAAATCATGTATAAGATATGGGGAAGCAGGGGTGATTTTAAGCTCAGCATGGGCACATAAGTGTCTTGGTATTCACAGCATGGGAAGAAACTGCACTCACTATGGGAATACAGCATCCCTGTGGCCAGTTCTCCTCATTTGCGGCTCCCAGGGATGTGGAACAGGGCTGGGCAAACACACAACAGGATCTGCTGTGTCCTATGTGGAGCATAGCTGAACATTTTGGTGGGAAGAAGGAGCTGAGCTTTTCACCACTGTTCTCCTGCGCATTCTGGCATGACCTTCCCCAGTATGATGCTGTCAGGGAATAATGGGAGTTGTAGTCCACCACAACTGATGGTGGTAAGATTTGGAAGGTTATGTTAATATGTAGCCTGTCAAGCACATACAAGCACGTGCTTACAAAAATATCCCAGTCCTGTCCCTCTGACTGAGAGGGCCTTACTTCTGCTGTGGCCATACCAGAATGCCTGCAGAGTATCAGAATCCGCTCAGAATGGCTGAACTAATTCAAGCTGGCATCAGAAATGGAATCATTCTGGAGTTTTCAGAAATGCCGGGGATCTGGATCACTGGGAGTGTCTGGATCAGGCTTTTATTGCATCATCACAGAATTTTGCGGGTGGGTTCAGAGGATGATGTCTGCCATTTGTAACTCACCCATGCTTTACTTCCAATTCTGGCATTTTTTTTCCTTACAGAAAAGGGGAAGAAAAGACAAAACAGCTGCACCATGCCTTTTGACTGTTTTTGTTAGCTGTCTTGAAACATTCTCAGAATTAAGATTGATTGTTTTTCATACTTGGACCCCCTTATCGTGAGGAGGACTAAATGAAATATGTGCCTGCAGTGAGTCTAGGGCCACATTTTGGTTGCCTAAAGGGCTACTTACATGTCATGTTTTCCCACCCACAAAGTCTCCTTGTGTAGACCGTGGGGCTGCCTCCTCGCCCTTTGGTCAAAATTCTGCCAAAGGCCAAGCGTGGATTAAAAGGTGTCGTTCTGAGCAAGGCAGTGCTAACTGCAAGATTTGTAACTGACTTGGAAATCAAATTTGTTTTCTATAATTTTTTTCAAGTGTACAGCTCTGCTTACAAAATAAATTCTGACCTGGGACACAGTTCTGCTTACAAGTTAAATGTCCCTGACCTATTCAAGGCAAAAGGTACAATTTTCAGTGGACTGCACCTTTCCCAAAGGAAGGATTCTTTGGTTTCAAGGTTTCAAGTCCTGCTCTGGCCCACGCCCCGCCCAGCCATAACACACAGGGATACACAAGGTGAACTGAGAATCAGGGCAGAGCTAGGAACAGCTGATACTTTGAAAAGCAAGTAACTGAGCCGAGGGAGATAAAATATCAACAACGATCATTTGAAGCAGCTGTCTCAGTTCTTTGTTCAAGTCTCAGGCGATGAAAATGTTTGAGAAATAGAGGAAATGGTTTTGCAAATGTCATCAGGAGGGATTGACTTCCCAATCAGCAACATCTGAGGCCATTTCAAAGCCATTCTTACCAAAACAGAGGGTGTGTATGTGTGGGAGAGGGATTACTTTGAAATGTGGGTGAGTGGGTATGTACATAATTTTAAAACACAGGTTGCTTGTTTAAAAGCAGTACTCTGATTGCAAGGCAGTGGGACATCTGTGATGTGTTTTCATTTTCATTCTGAGAATTACACCTAAACTAGAAGATTATGGGGGAAAAGAGACAAAGATTTGGGTTCAGACCATATGTATGCTGGAGTTGATCAGCTTCCTTATGATGAACTCTCAAGTTCAGAACTTCCTGTTTTTCATTCAGACAAGCACTACTCAAAGGAAGAAACTCCCATCCATGTGTAATACCTACGGTAGGCACTCCAGCCAGTCCACCACTCATTTTAATCAATTATGCCTTAACTGAGCCTTTCTCAACCTCTTTAGGATTTCAGCTCCCATCAGACACAGGCAACATGGCCAGTGTTCAGCAATATTGGGCGTTCTAGTCCAAAACATCTGGAGAGCAGCAGCTTGGGGAATAACCGTTTTAGTTAGAATCAAGTTGTTTATGCTACCTTTCAGTGAAACTGAGCTAATTCCAATTTTTTTCAGATTAACTTGATAATACTATAGCATTAATTTGATTTCCTATCTTCATTTTTTAACAACCATTTGTTGAACTGTACATGTTGTAAATAAATACTCTGTGGCCACAATCCAGCACGGAGTCCAGAGTGCATAAAATAGATTGAAAGCAGCCATTCTAGAAATACGAGGCATATTATAATTCATGGACTGAATGTGGCCCTGATGTTGACCCTACCATCACAAAACTTGCTGTATTATATAAATATAACACTCAGAATACCTCTGGTTTTTGCATATGTTATATAGACATTTGCATACACCATACCATATGATATAGGCAATAGTTAGCCAGTTTAACAGTACACAAGCATACACTACAAAAATATGACATTATATTCATATGAGATAATATATTTTCTCTTTTTCTGAAAAAGGGTCTACGGAATGTGAAAGCCCTCTCCATTCTTGGAACTGTTTTGAGCCTTGTGTACTATCTGCAGCACTGGAGGGGAACATAAAATCTTTGTTCCACGTGTAGATCTGCATTTGTGCCAGGTTTGCACATATTACTTTCACTGCTTGCACAAGGGGGGGTGTATGCACTGGGAATGCTCACAGTGGAGCAGATGTGTGCAGTTGCCACACGTGACGATCCACATTTGGTTTTCACTCCTTTTCCTACACGGAAGTGCTTGCTCTGGAGGAAGTGTGTAATGTTTGAAGAGGCCCTTCCTAAAACTATTGTTGGTTCAGGGGAGGGAAGAGAGAGCCACTTTCCCTATTCTACAACTCCTCTTTTCCGAACACTGAGACCAGCATGGCTGCTACCGCATATTCCAGTTTTCATGATATTATATCCAGAAAAATAGCCCATAATCTATCCCGAGGCTTTTTCTCCCCAAATATATGACACACACACATTCCTCACATAGGTGATGCGTCCTCCTATTACATAATATGATTACGCTTTTCGACAGTTTCTGAATGTAGAATACACAAAATTATAGATAAAAAATTGCTGAGCTGCTGATGTTTCTGACTGGAAACATCAATGAACCAATCCATTGAATCTGGGATTTTTCAGTGAGGAAAGAAATAATAATCATTCATCGTAATTATTATTTAATTACAGATTGAACTCTGGTAGGAAACCGCGTGAGTACTGCAGAATGATAAGGGGTACAATTGTCTAGCAAGTGAGATATTTCAGTGTGGTTTAAATGGTAACTGATAATTTCCAAGATAAGCTGAGAGAGCACAGGAAAGTTTGAAATTCAAACAGAAGTTTTAAGCCTAATTGTTAGCGGTGATTATTTAATTGTAATTAACCTAAAATGAAAATATGAGTGAGAATGCCTGTAACAAATTAGCACTTCCTAACGCATCTCATTTTGATTTCTGTAAAGTACAGAATCTGGATTGAAAAGCTTTATGTCTTGTAACTGTATTGTTAGACTTCCAGTAAATATTCTATTTTCCAGTTATATTTTCTAAACCTTACAGATGTCATTTCTTTTCTTAAATGGAGTGTTCCATTTAAATTTTTACAGAGCACCATAAAGCATAAAAAACAACAACTAAGAATTCATAATGAGCAAAAAGTTCCCACATTAAAAGACAATTTGAGGATGAATGCTCTTGGATTAATTGCTCTCCAAGACACCCATGTTCTGGACTGTTTGATACAGCTGGGAAACGATTACAAAAATGTACAAGCCATTAGCACTATTTAAAAATATAGGGCATCATGTACCGCGGAAGAAAGCATGGGGCATTAGACGCCCCATGTTCTAGCTCAGATGAACAACACGCTGCATGAAAGGGGAGCAACACCAGCAGCCAGCCCTCCTGAGCGGAAAGAGCCCTGATGTTTCGGACAAGCAGCTCTGCTGAGCTGCACCGATGGCTGAAAATCAGGTCTCCTCCTTTCCAAGGACTGTGCCAGTCGCCCTTTTCCCGCCACCCTCAATGCCCTTTCTCACCTGTCAGACTTCACCCAGCCAAAGTCTTCTTCTCTCCTTCTCCAGAGGTCAAAGACAGTCATTTTTACTCCCTATTACTGAAGGTGGTAAAATCCCGTCTGAAGGCTGGGGAATTTCGAAGAGAAACGAAGTGTCACCTGATTGCTGGCTGCAAGGAGGCCTGGATGGCGTGGTGCGGGGGCATGTAGAAGCAGTGCTGCAGCAGTCTACCTGAAGGCAGGAGCAGGGCTGCTGCCAGGATCCGGTCCTAGAGACTGGAAGGGAGGTGACCAGCTGGCATCCCCGCGGAGTTTACCCCCTGCGTCGGCCACATGGCTGCTGCCGGCTACTGCGCTCAGAGGCCATGATTCGTGGCTGCTTCCTCTCTCCTCCACTGCTTCCCTTAGCCAGGGCTGGCGTATAATTATTATTGTTATTAGCCGTGGTGCTGGGGACGTCAAATCAATTAGACTCCAGCTTTTCCTGCCCCCACCTCCCGACTCCCTGCAAATCCCCCTGTGGCCACCTCTCCTTTTGACAGGCACTATTTGGCCACTGGAAGGAGCTGCTTTGAAGAAGGCGTCTGGGCCAAGCCCCCTCCCCACTCCCCTCCCCTCCCTCCCCTGCATGAGAGAGATTTCCTGCCCTCTTTGGACGGGGGATGTTCTGCAGCCTGCAGATAAGCAGCCCAGGAGCTGCCTGCACAGGACTGATAAGGAAACTCCAGAGTCAGTCCCAGCCTAAGCGAGGGGACTTGGAAAGCAAACAAGAGGAAGCCCAGCGTCTACACACTGGAATAACATAGGCCAGCGAGCACTAAAGACTCAGCGGCACACACATAATAGGAGGTAGCTCAGCAAAGCTCAGAGCATGGTCAGTAGCAGCTGGAAGCAGGGCCTGGGTGCAAAGGGCGAGGAGCCATGCAAAGACAAGAGCTGGGGCAGGAGAGAGCCGGTCCCTTCCCTCCTGCCAGCCCACTTCCGGGGCATCGGACAGGCATGGTGCCCTTGGCCTCTGGAGGGGGGCACATGTGGAGTTAGCCTGCACCTCCCGGGGCCCTCGCGTATGGCACAGATCAGGTGGACCTGCCTGTGAGCCCTGGACATCCAACACCTTGGCAATTCCCATAAAGAAAGTATGTCCACTTGTACTACTAGTGTGAAGGTGAGGGCGCAGTACATGAATCCAGCATCCAACTTGTGTCTGGGGCCATGTTGACATCTCTGTTCCTCTCCAAACACTCATAATAACAAATCAAGGTCCAAGAAAATCAGCAGGAATACAGATGTTTGGGACATATATTTATTTAGTATATTTTAAATCTGCCCAATAACTAATATTCTCTGGACAGATACTAGGGTTTCTGAAGAAAGCTTTTTAGTTCAGAATCTGGCTAGAGTGGCCAACTGCTTATATCCAAAATAGAGGACATAGATCACCATCATAAAAGATAATAAGACACAAATTTGCATAAAATATAAATATAATTATTTATTACATTTCTATACCAGCCTATGTATAATTGATATACGCTGATGTGCGTTTATAAAGAATTGCTCTAACTTAAATGGAATTACAGTAGATCTCATCAAAATGGGAAAAATGGTGAAGAGATTTCTGTGCTTTCTCAGGCTACTGAGAGTTCCCATTTACCCTAATTTATAGAGGACAATCCTCTAAGGGCCTGTGAGTGGGCAGTCTTCCATTTCAAGTCACCTTCATCTTGAGAGGCTGCCAAGCCCAAGTCCAGCATAGAGATAAAGAAGCACAAGAAGTTGGAGGATAAATTACTTGAAATTAGCAATCAAGGGTTAGTCCCTAGGCAGTGCCCTTATGAAGCATCCTAATGCAGAAGAGGACGCAACAGGAATGCAGAGTCCAGTGCACACAGGATGTGTTGGGAGCAGGATTCCCCCCTTCTCTGTCAAAGAACAGACCATTATTTGGCAAGAGCTCATTATTTCGAATATACAGTCAGCAAACTAATCGCCTACAGAGGAAGAGTCTCTGAGCATGCACAGAGCAGTTGGCTGAACTCAAGCTAGAAACTATTTCCAAGAACCCTCCTCTGTAACCCTGGGCTCAGTAACCCTGGGCTCCACTCTTCTGGATGTGCCCCTCTGGAGAAGGACTAGCCTCCTTGATCCCTGCAGGCTTTCTAGTTGGCTTGCCCTTCTCTCCTGAAGCCATGTCATGGGGTCAGGGTCTGGCTCCTCTGGCCTCTCTCCCATGTTCCCTCCTGGCACCTCCTGAGCCTGTTGGTTCCCAAGGTCTGCCTCAGCACCTGGAGACAGTGGCCCTGAGATATGCTTTCTCTCCTCCAGCATCTCCTGTGTCCACAGACCACATTTCCCAGCTTTCCCCGTCCTCATCCGAAGAGCTGGTGTTACCCTGGCCCTGAAATGCATGCCAAGAACACTCTTTCATTCCCAACAGGAGGTGGCCAGCAGGCAAGTGCCTTGGGATGGCCTAACATCTGCTTGCTGCTGTTCCAAGAGAACATGGAAGCACCACGGAGGAGGTAAATAGGCCTTCTCACATCCACCCAATCCACTTGATGGGAGCAGCTTCAAAAAGTGTTGATGCGGCACTGAGCTTGGACACGCTCTCTATGCAGCAGGCATGTGGAGCTGCTGGTTCACCCAGCACCTCTGTCCCAGGCTGGGCACGTGGGGCAGCTGCCCCAGGTGGCAGGTGCCGGGACACAGCAAGGTGCTGGAGCAGGGAGCTGTGGGCCACACTGGCTGTTTTGCAGCCACTACCCTGCCAGCTCGGAAGATGCCATTCCAGCGCCAGAACCAAAGAAAGACTGGTCAACCGGCCCCAGCAGCTTTGGCAGAGGGAAGGGCAGGAGTGCAGCACCACCTTGCCCATAGCTTCAGGCAACACAACACCTGAGGCCACTGGTGAAGCGCTGGGTAAACATCTTTTCAGTGAATAAGTAGCCTAGGGGCCCAGCGGCAGCTCAGCCAATTTTGATGGGCCCCCACAGTCCTCTATTGATCTGATACCGCCCCTAGATTAGGTTCCAGCCTGGGGCGGCTGCCACCATAAGTCTGCGATTTCCATTGCATGGCAGAGGTGGGACATGCACAGAAAATGAGGCATCCAAAGCAGGTCCAAAACCTGTGCGTGTGCATGGCTTTACAGAGGGGCCCTCCGCCTGCTGCCTTCTGGATCCTGCCCTGACACAACTCTAGTCATGTGCAGCACTGGATGGGGTCTGAGTCGGAAGGGCACCCCACACCAGTCTGTTGCCATGTCAGTGCAAGATGGTGCCTTTGTGCAGCACCTCATTGCTCCCAACTGAAGGGATCTCTCTAGCCGGATCATTTCAGCGTAGAGTGGAACTGCCATTTCCTCAGGACACACGAGTAGCGCAAGATCCTTCTGTTTATTTTAGTGCACTGCACTAAATCCCACCTTTTTTCTTCTCGCAGGGAGCCCAAGGCCGCTGCCATTATCCTCCCCATTTTATCTTCACCACACCCTGTGGGAGAGGTGAGGCGGACAGTTAGACTGGGTCAGTGTCACTCCCTCGGATCTCCTCAGCCCCACCCAGCCCTCTCACCACCAGCCACACACCTTTCTGGTTTCACAGCACACACAACAAATGGGTCAGTCGTGTTGCGTCCAGAGCCTTTCCTAGGAACAGCACACCAGCAGTGTGGCACCATCACACCCTCCCAGCACTCAGAATCCCTTATTTTGTCATGGGGATAATGAGGAACTGCCCACTCCCCTTCCAGGACATGGTTATGCTGGGTGGGCTTTGCAGGCATCTCTGGAGACAAGTGATGCCACTCTCTGAGACTGATGGCCAGCATTAGTTGCATCGCCTTAATCCCACTGTAAGAAATGTTTAGATCAAAAGGAGTTATTGACCAGAGAGAATGGTTCTGGAGACTGGAGAGGAGAGAAATTGAATCACTATTTGAAGGATTTATTGTCTGAAGATCAGGTGAACTATTACTGTTATTACTATTACTTAAATCTAATTGTCAAGGCAGTACCCAATCAGCATAGGACTGCCAGGGTCAATTAGAATTTGATCCAATGATTTCTAGGCTGCAAAATGGAGGAAGACTAGAAGGGCCTCTTGGCCTCCTCCCGCCTGGTGCCCTCCAGGTATGTTGGATCAGTCGTAGCCCAAGTTTGGGAGTAGTAGCAGTGGTGCAGGGTGCCCAAATTGAACCTTGCCTAGGTGCCAAAATACCTTGAGACGGCCTTGCTGTGGAATGCTCCTGCCAAGCAGGATTGGAGCACTGAGGGGCGAGGCACTTCTCCCTTCCCTCCTGCGCCAGTTCCCCAGTGAATGCCCCTTTGAGGTGGGCAGGGCAGTACTCACAACGTGCTCATACTGTACTGGTTTTTTCCCACAGCAGTGCAAATAGCAATTGGTTTGGGTGTGGGGCAGAGAGGGGGGTCAGCTGGAAAAAACAGTTAACCTCTCCCTCCCCAGCTTGCAGTCCATTCCAATGTGACCCTTGCCCTCCTCAGAAGATCCTGTTGCAAATCTTCCAAGTGACACATAACATGAGCCCAGCATTCCTGCCTGCTGCTAGACAGGTCCTGAGAGGAGGGGGATGGCGCCCAGGGGATTGGTGATGATGGCAGCAGAAGAGGGGAAGTGCTTGGCTGTACTGGTGCCTCAGGTGCAGCCAAACACACCTGGACAGGGAGGCAAATTGACTGCATCTCCACCTGATAAGTAACAAATATTGTGTCCTATTTGGTTCTTTTTTCTAACCTTGAGGTGTAAGTCCTCCTCCTGGAGATAGTGGAAAGGAAGCCGAACTGCAGAAAGCTTTGGCCAAAACCTCCTCACCTGCTGTTCTTCCCAGCACCTTCCCCAAACTCTGCAGCTGGGTCTGCAGTCTTGGAAGCCCCCCCACTTTGCCCTCCTCCACTACCCAGGCAGCCCCTGCAACATGCCAGCCTGACATCACCCCAGTGCTGCGCCTTCTACCAGGCCACCCTTGGCTGCCGACGGCCTGGCAACCAGGCCTCTTTCTGTTCTGGCAGAGACAGAAACGCAATTACTGGTGACATCTGCCTGCAACGGCCTTGCCCAGCCTTTAACGTGAACAGAATCTCCCTCTGTGTCTTTTTGTGGAATAGGCAACCTGTCAGCCCCCACATCCCAGAGTTAATGTGAGGATAGGGGGGAAAGGCCCACCAGAGAAGAGGCCTGCATACTCCCCCCACCATGCGAGCCACTCGGTGTCAAGGAGTGACCCGGCCGGCTCCCCGACAGGGCTGCAGTGCTCCTCCAGGCCGACAGCGGCTGGGTGCAGGGCGGGAGCTGCATTCCCGTGCCTTCCAATGCCACTGAAGGCAACCTGTCGTTCAGCCCTCCTTGGACATTGCGCTCTGGTCAGGAGCAGGCCCAGCAGGGCACTCCCTCCCCACTGTGCAGGCTGCTTGTGATCGAGGACAGGCCCTGGTGCATGAGGGCCCCCCAGAAAGAGGTGCGTGTCTGCTCCCGCATGCTCCCCTGTGTTTGCATGGGAGGGGCGGGACGGAAAGAAGA